TCATCATCGTTATCATCATCATCATTACAGCCATCACAATCCAAAACATCATTACCATATCACCATCACTAACATCATCACCATCATCACTACCACATCACAATTATTAACATCATTACCATATCACCATCACTAACATCATCACTATTATCACTACCGCATCACAATTATTAACATCATTACCATATCACCATCACTAACATCATCACCATCATTAACATAATTTTTATTACAACCAACACAATCCATAACATCTTTTCTATATCACCATCACTAACATAATTGACATCATTACCCAATCACAATTACTAACATCATTACCATATCACCATTATCACATCACAATCACCATTATCATATCATCATTAACAACATCACAATCCTTAACACCATTACCATATCACCATCACCTACATCATCACCATCATCACTACCGCATCACAATTATTAACATCATTACCATATCACCATCACTAACATCATCACCATCATTACAACACAATCACCACAATTACATGCATCACCATCATCATATCATTACCAACATCAAAATCCTTAACACCATTACCATATCACCATCATCACATCACAATCACCCCCATTACATAATTTCCACCATCACAATCCTTAACATTACCATACCACCATCACTAACATCGTCACCATCATTAACATCATCATTGCCATATCAACATTACTACCATTACCATGATCACATCACTATCATGCCAACACCATTATCATCACATCATTACCACCATCACCATCATTATCACCAACATCAGCTCCATATCACCATTGTCACCATCACCATTGTTATTACCATGATCGATATCGACCTAACAACATTACCATCATCATTATTATTATCACCATCATTACCACCATCACCATCATAATCATTGCCATCACAATCCTTAAAATCCTTACCATATTACCATCACTAACATTATCACTATCAGCATCAGAAGCATGATTACTTGATCACCATCATCACCATCACTATCATCAACTTCATTACCAACATCATCATCATCACTATCATTCCGGATACATCACACCTGAGAGAGCACACACACTATATCATCATCATCACTCCACTGTAAACTTTACATTAAGTTAGTTATTGAAGTTCAGTAAACACTCACCAAAACTGAGGCAGATGTTAGCTTGTTTCTTCCAGATCAAATTATGTCTACATTAATCCTCTATAGCTTTAATCCCCAACCAACGGGTTTAACAAAAAAAACTTAGCGAAACTAATAATCTGCTTTATTCAGTAACTTGCTCGCAGATTAACTGGTACAATAACATTCTACACCAGCTGTGCTCGGTTCATGTTTAACAAATCATGTGAAGCAGATGTTTTGCTGATATTGTTCCAGGATCTGGTGCACTTCTGTTCCTGTTTTCGGGAAACCTCCGGTGAGTCACCATGTGTTCCGAATCTGAGTTGTTTTAGTGAACGAGTCAGTTCATCGAGACGTTCAGATTGCTGCTCATGCATTTTTATTTCAAAAGAATCGGCTCAAACGAGTGAATCACTTGCGAATCGGCTATCGTAATGGTCAACAAACATGCTTAAACTTGCACTAAATACGTCACGAACAATAATTATTCGCTTTTAACGAGTGATTTTGGTGAATGTGTTGTTGTATACGACGTGGGGCCACGTCAAAACATTTACATTACTACTGCTAGTAGACTTTACGTTTCGTTTGCTTAGTTTGCTTTCAATGATCAATGTAAGCAGTACGAGTAGAAATCGTTTAATAATATTTAACAACCTATTACATTTTATTGGGAGTAATCATGTGAGAGAGTGTGCTTTTTCACAACTAAAAATAAAATTCAATCTTATTTTTACAAAAAGTATTCTACATAATCACAAACGCCTGTGATTGGTCTTTAACAATAC